CCCAGCCCCTGGCCCGGGGAAGGCGGCGCAACACCTGCCGTGCCTCCAGCCCCGGAGAGGGGCGCCTTTTCCGAAGCGGGGCGGGCCGGGGCCTGGCTGGGTCGCGGCGGGAAGGTCTGCCGGGGGCGCTCCCCTGCGGGGGCCCGCGGGAGGACTCTGGGCTGCCGTTCCGGGCCGGGAGCGAGTGGGGGGAGGGCGTGCAGAGGGCTCGCCGCAGTCCGTGAGCTTAGATGCCAGTCAACTTTCTGCTGCGTTTTGTTTCAGAAGACAAACGTCCAGCGTGAATCGTGTTCCTGCAGAAAGGAGGCGGCCGGGGCGCGAACTTGCGACGTGCGTGGTTCCCCGACGGGAGCGATCGACACACACGCTCACCGCCAGCGCGGAGCAGTCATAGATCTCAGAAACCCCCTCATTCGAAACGCCCTCTCTGTCGTCTGAAAAAAGGACAGCAGACAGCAACGAGAACAAAAGTTGAGCTGCCCCACAGACAGTCACTGGTGCCCACGAACCTCTCCCCTCCCAGACGCGATTCCCCGCGCGGATTTCATCGGCCATGAAAGTCGCCAGGGACGGGGCGCTCGCCCTCTCGCTGGGGGGGGGGGTCATTGCCACCGAGAAAATAAAGACTGCGAAGAGAGGGGGTGGGCCGTTCTGCTGATATTCGGAGTCACTTTGAGGGCGATTGTTCAAAGACACAGACATCTCCTTGCCACCCCGTGGCAGTCAGCTCCGTAGAATGACAGCCGGAGCTTTGTGGTGGTCTTGACACATCTGGGCAACACCTGGCAAGAGGAGGTGAACGTTTGGATAGAAAGAAAGGAGACGAGAAAGGCGTAGACAGGTTGTAGATTTTTCAAAACGGGGACCCAGCGAATGGGCTCTAATCTAGAAGGAGGAGTCATTTCGCCAGTGGCTGCGGCCACTTAGAGACCAGGTTCCAGGCGGCTTCCGGCCACCAAATCATGCACTTTTAGCAGGAGGTAGGAGGGAAGACAGAGGTGCCCTGTGGCTCACGTATACACAAGACTCCAGAAAGATCAGATGAGGTCAGGTCAGCTACTCCATGTGAAGACGGGGGTGGGAGGGCGCGTGTGGAGACGGGAAAGCATCTTGCGCGACCCTTCTCTTCCCGCCAGCCTGGCCGGTTCTCAGGGGTAGGATGTCGCTCCGGCGAAGCAATGACACTTTGGGGTTAAGAAGCGGTTTTCTATTCCGGCTGCGTTCTGGAGAGGATTGAATACAAGTCTGCGGTTGCTGTGAACCGCGTCTGTTTCCAACAACATGCAGGTGTGGAAGTGGGACCTAAAAACCTATGTCCACAGCAAGGACTTTCTGGGGGGCCGGACAGTGCTGGGCTTCTCAAACAGGGCGCGTTTCGAGCAAAAGAAAGGCGGTGTTTTGCCTTCAGAGGCAAGATGGGCAGAAGGAGCCTGGAAGTCTTCGTGCTCAAGGCCGATGCCACTGGGGGTGGGAGGTGGCGGCTGGGCGGGCCGTTCCAGCGTCCCAAGGAAGCTCGGTTGTCAATGAACCGAGCAGACATCGTTTAATAAACAAAGTGAATGCGCGACCATGAGGTGACGGCCTCTTGCTAAGTCCTCGGCACACAACTGTCTGAGCCGCGTTTACCGAGAGACTGAATTAGCATGACGACGTAGCACCTGTTTTTCTGATCTTTGAACCTGGGTTGGAGCCGGAACGCAGCTCCTTCCCTTCCCCGCCCGGGCGCGGGAACCCGGCTTCGCAACCTGGCGGCGACCCCGCCTGCCCGCCCCTCACGCGCCCGCGGCTCGCCCGAGGCGCGAACCGTGAACCGGAACCTCAGGTGCCTCCCACGTGTTCTGGTTCGCCTCCAGCATGGGGCGCGTTAAATGAATTTCTTGAGGCTCCGAAACTGATTAGTATTTGTCTACCCTCCTCTGACCCAGCATAAGGCGAAAGGCCCCAGAAAGGAAAGGGAAGGGCACCCGCGACCCAACACCACCAAAGAGTCCTTATAACGTCTAGTACGCCGCCTGCTCGCGCCGGGGCCTGGAGCCGTCGCCCTGTGGCCCTCGGACTCCCGGGACGCGATCCTATGGCGGGAGAAACCCCGTGTCCGTCCGTCAACAACCATCTCCCTCCTTCCCCAGCAAGGTTGGCAAACAGCCTGGAGTGATGGAGACGTTGTTCTCCCGAGAGATCCCTCCACCCTCTGGGGTGAACCAGGATGCTGCCCGCATGGAGCCTGCGCTCGGCTGGGACGCCTCGACGTGTAGGCGCCCCCGCCGGTAGCCCCGCGGTCCCGGCAAGCGCGCGGCGGACTTGGGAACTCACGCGCCTATGCGTGCCAAGCCCCGCGTGTGCCGGGAGAAGAGGGGGGAGCATCCGAGGGCCGCATGACCTTTCCTGGCAAAAGGCGAAACGCAGACTGGAGGAGGGGAGCCAAGAAAGGGGGAGAGAAAGAGTGAGTGCCTCGTGGAATTCTGCCGCAAACCGCTGAGCCGGCTTTCCCAGCCGCGGCTCCGACACGCGAGCGTTTGTGGCGCGGACCCCTGCCCCGGCGCAGACCTCCAGCCTGCCTTCGATGACGTCTCTCTGCTCCCGGCTGTTTGACCGCCTCATCCACACTAGAGTGATTCTCCCCTCCACCCCTTTGATACAGACTGCCAGGGTCGCACACGCACGCTTTCACCTGCGCGCACATCACATATGCACAGTTGTGCAAAGCACACAGACACAGATTTTGCTCAACCGCCAGGGTCAGGATGACTTATTTATCATCAGGATTCAAAATCTGAAGATGGTCACTCAAACATGTCCGTGTTATCTCCAGATGTTCACTCTCTACCACTAAAAAGGACAATTTATCCAGGGAAATACTAATGGCTTAGGGAATATTGACATTTTCTACTTCCATGTATGCGAGTTAATGTAGTCCTGTCCTAAACCCATTTTATTATCACATTTTAGACGTTTACATCTCTGTGAAGTCGTTATGATGTTGAGGCAGAAACAGGGACACTCCTTGCAACTCTGCCCACGAGAGGTAAACCTACTAGAAAACAGAGGATAACTGCCTCCAAAAAATATGGTCATACTAAATATTTTAGAAATTACGGTAAATATTCCTTGTCTGATTAGGACATTTTGAAAAGTGTTAGATATTTTATGGGGGGGGAACTTTCCTAAGGTACTGCTTTTCAGGCATCTGCCTAAATTGACCCTTGAACTATCCCCAAAATTAGCGTCAGCGGTTACACACTGGGAAACGAACAAAGAAAGAAAGAAAATGCACCAACTTGGAAAATGAGAGTAACAAATACAAGTAAAAATTTTATATAATTTCTGTAAATATTCCGGATATTTTCCACTCAGATTTTGAAACCACGGTATAATATATAAGCAATCGTCGCTGAGAAATAAGAATGCTCCTTAAATTGTGCGCTGCTGTATTAGCAACAGCAAATTTTAAGCTTGAAGAGAGAGAGACAGAGAGAGGTGACTGGAGCGAGCCTCTGCTCCTGTGCTTTCTGAGGGCGGGAGCGGTGGGTGGGGCTCTCTTCGCACTTTTCAGCAATGGAGCTGGGGACGGGGTGCGTACATAATCCAGCAAAGCTGGATACAGGAACACTGCCGACGTGTTCTAAGGCTGGAGATGAACCCTAGTTTACAACTCGGGCTGAAAGACACTTTGTTTCCTAAACCGGTTTCCGAATTTCAGGCCAAACTGCGCACAGCCTAAAACCCGCCACGCCCAGGCCTTTGCTCGCGAGGCGGGGGCGGGGGCGGGAGCGGGCGCCAGAGGGACACGACAAGTCCAGGGCCTGGACGAGGGTGAGGGGCGTCAGCATGGGTTGAATCCGGAGGGCGTGTGCCTACCCCTGTAACCCCAGGTCTCTGACACTGAGAGCCTTTGGACCCGGTTTCTGACTTTCTCCCTTTTTTCTGAACCCTAACTTTCCTTCTAGCGCGGAGGCGCCAGTGTACCCCGGAGCTATGCCACGCGCGCCTCACCCTGCTTGCCCTAGGCGGGGTGGGTAAGGGTGGAGGGAGGATCCTTCTCACCCGCAAACAGATGACTCGCTTCCACACTTGGCCCAGCCTCACTCCAGGGGTGGGTTGAATGGGGAGGAGAAGACAGCAGTTTTTAAATATGTGCCCTCGAGCCCCACCCTGATGTAGGAATCCGAAATCCCTCCCCGACTCAGAAATAGGCTTTTTTTTTTTTTTAAATCTC